TGGGGTCACCAGGTTAGTGCGGTGCAGGGCCCCATTCAGAAGGTTAGTTTGTGTTGGGAGCCTGTCTGTGGGAGCCCCCTTCCCCCTTCCCCCCCCTCCCCCGCCGCCAGCAGTGATCTGCACAGACAGATGCACAGAATGCACCTCTCTCCAGCTGTCAGCCGCCAGCTGCTGAAAAGAGACTGTTAGGCTTCTGACAAAAGCCTGAGAGACAACATCTGAGAATCATTGTGATTTCTTCAGTAATTATTTTTGAATCATCTACCTACACTAGACTATGGGGTGTTGGAACAGGTACTACCAGGAGTCCCAGTCCCAGTGGTGTCATTGGAATAGCTCTACCTCCCTAATGACAAGATTTTGTTTCCAGGATGACATGATTGTATCTGGCTCTGTTCTCCCTCAGTATGAATTTCCTTTTGCATCAGACCTCTCTTTTTTTCAATATTTATTTATTTTTGAAAGAGAGAGAGAGAGAGAGCACTCATGTGAGCAGGGGTGGGGCAGACAGAGAGAGGGGGACAGAGGACCCAAAGCAGGCACTGTGCTGACAGCAGAGAGCCCAGTGCAGGACTGGAACTCAGAAACCACAAGATCATGACCTGAACCAAAGTTGGACACTTAACTGACTGAGCCACCCAGATGCCCCTGCATCAGACCTCTCTACCCCCACTGTGACCTGAAATAGTTTTGTGTCAGGCCTCCCCACCAGTTCTTCAGTTGTGGCTTGCCTGAAGCAGTAGACACAGCTTGAATCATTTCCTTGAGGCTCCTGAGCCTCTACTACAAGTTGATTTTGATTGGGCCCATTTTATCACCAACAGCCACCAACAACCTCTTAGGCTTCCCCCAAATATACGAATCATGAGTACCTTCCAAGTAGTCTCCTCAGCCCACATACAGATGGCCTTGTGCAAGTATTTTCTGCAGTCTTTCAAATATGCCCAGTTCAAGTAGGTTCCTGAGTAGGGGCATATAAGTCAGTCCCTGAAGATGAGATAGATTCATGTTGCAAAGCAGGTTTCTGACCTCTGCCATGCTGAAAACTTGGTAAATTCAGCAAATGAATGACTCCCTGGGTGTCAGACTGTTAGCCTTCCCTGGGCCATGCCCCCTCTTGTGTAACTTTTTCATCCCTGACCACCTGACCTGCTGGTTCCTGACTGTGGGAGACCTGTGTAAAGTTTGAACAACTCAGGGATGGGAAAAGGCATATGTTCTAAGAATACACAGGATCTGATTTGAACATGACCAAAAGGCAGGTTTACCTAAGGCACATGAAGGACAGAAGAGAGCCAAGTTAAGCTAAATGGGCAAAACCAGGTTTGTGTCCACAAGACTGAGAAGGACAAGAGGAGATCATGGATGCTGCACAGACAAGGGATACACCATTGTGAAAGCTCGCATGCATGTTTGTAGGAGGTGGGGGTGAGGCTGGGAGTGGGGCAAAGCTGCAGTTACGATGAATCAGCCTGTATCCCAGGCTTAATGCTTGGGGGTTGTTTGGTTCTGAAATCTAGATTTTGGGGCAAGTCAAGGTTACACAGGTGGTAGTGGATGCCCTGGGGAGTGAAACCATGGCTACTGCAATCTGTTAGACCAGAATCCATTCTTAATATAAAATAAATAGTGCTTAGCAGCCAGACAGATGTAGGTTAGCATCCTGCTTCAATCTTTTATTTGATCTGTGACTTTGGACATGAAGCCCTATTTGAGTTATTTTCCTCACCTGAGACATGGAGATATTAATAATGTGGCAGCATGATATTGTTACAGCTTGTGATTTGGAACAGTACTTGTCACTTATTAAATAAATTCCAACTCACCTGAAAACATTCATCAACTTGCAGTATATCCATTTGCAAGTCAGCTGTAAACCTTGTGCCAGTTCTGGCACCCCCAGAATTACCAGGTGCCAGTTCAGATAAAGTTTCCTACATCCTATAAACCTTCAGACTTATACCTGAATTTAGAAAGATAAGAAAGGGACCAGGAAGGAAAGGCAGGCATGACTGCAGAAAGAAAGAATAGGATCAACGCAGGACAGGGGCAAGGCAGGGGCAGCTCCAGAGCCCATTAAGACCCAGTATCCCTTACTGAAAGGAGGAAGAAATGGTTTGGAGGCCAGTAGGACAGTGACCACAGTCCAGCTGCACCCATCTCTGGCCATGCACAGCT